ATACATATATGTGGGAATATATATAAATGGGTATATGTATTTAATAATATTCAATAATAATTTGGTATCTCTAAACTTTTCGATATACATATACATATATATTATATCATAACTATCTGTAATATTAAACGTCAAAACTAAAAAAAATTCATCTGAACCATTTTAAACATTTGCAACATTAATGATTTACATTAAAATCTTTCGTTATGATTAAATATAATGTTCTTCCTTTGTTGTGTATATACTTGGTATAAATTTTGTCTTTTTTTTCTTTTAATTTTTAGTAATCAATACAAGTAAACTTCAATATCATATATATGTTTTGAAAGAACGCAATAGATATATATTTCCTTTATTAGAATCTAGTTAAACATGTTGTTATATTTTGAAAGCATTTTCCATTTACTTGTAAGAGCTAAGAGGAAAGAGCATAAGAATTGGGTTCGGTAAAACTAGAAAAATTAAATTTGGACATAAATAAATAAATATATATAGTTATGCTAATTGTAGTAGTTTTTGAGTAGAGTTTAGAAGTTAAAGATATTTTAAGCAATTGGATAGTATCTTGAAGCGACTTTAAGGCAATATTATCGTTTATAATTTTATCGAGCGAGGGTCACTAGGGAATTGTTTTTTTGGGATTGACAGCGAGTAAGGTTTAGTTGTTGCCTTCGAAGTCAAAATATGTAAAACACAGTGTTAGGCAATTATAGAAAGAAAAAGGTAGTTATACTACGAAAAATTCCTGACTTTCGTCAGGATCAGAATGGGCTATTGTTGATGCCCAAAAGTGTTTAACAACACACAAGCTTCCGGTTAGTCACAAGCTTTTGTAACTCGTTTAATTTTTTGATTTCATAAATATTCACTAATTTATATATATCTCATATATTAAGTATTGAATACACTTTTTCCACTATTCGGTATTTTTGACTGTGTATGTAAGTTGAACATTTGTTTGTTTTGGTATTTCGGTCTGTTTTTGTTGAATCTGTACATATAACTTTTAACATTTACAACACCGTATATATTTCTTTGTCTATATGCATGTTACTATGTATGAGTGTGTGTAAGGGAGTGTGTGTAGGTGTATATAGATATGCACTATACTAAAGAAGGAAAAATAAAAAGAAACACAACAATTAGAGATACTGTTGAACTATTTTTTGGTTTTGTGATATAATGATTAGTTGTTTCATTTAGTATTGTACATATAAGATAACTTCTGTAGATGTTGTTGTTGTACTTGTTTTCTTGTTGTGCTGTTGTTGTTGTAGATGATGATACGGGTGGTGTACCATATATTTTAACACCGAAAGTACATATGTCTGAAAGAGACCAGCGAGTCGTTGTTGTAGATGTTGTGGTGAAGATTGTTGTTGTTTCGTGTGGTTGTTGTTGTATTTTTAGGCAGAGTAGTAGTAGTGGCGCAAGTTAAAGATTCAAAATAGTGTTTCAAATCAAAAGAAGAGAGAGAGAGAGAGAAAGAGAGAGAAAAGAGACACCAGAGAAAGAGAGAGAGAAATATAGAGAATGCAGTGTGATTAAAACATTTATTCATATGTATTTATATTCATA